TTAGCTTGAAGGTTTTGTTTTACTCTTTGTGAGTTAGTAGTGTTGAATGCGTACCATCATTTTGACTGAATTGTACCTTTTTGTTACCTTAGTGTCTAAATATGAAATTCATATATAATGTGCTTGATGAATTAGAACTGAAACACTTAGGAACCAAATGTTAGAATCACCTCTTTTAAATCTGGTATCCGTACAGTAAGCACAGGCACGTCCTAGCTGTGGAGCTGAAGTTAGTGTGGCTTGGCTTTCTGTCACACTTGCGCACACGGACCCCCACTTCTATCTAATGCTACATCCAGGGTGGGTTTTTTTTCAGCATCCACTATTCCACACAGCCAGTACAATCCACTTGTTTCCTCATCAACTATCAGAGTTATTGGATTTGCCTGCCGTGGAGAGAATTGTTGAGTAAGGCTGGGGTTATGAAGTTGAACCAGCTCCACTTTTCATCCAGTTAGATGAACCGATACAGATGCAGTGATAGATTAATCCCTCTCAGACTCTTGACTTATCATTGGCATGCCGCTCCAAGCTTTTTAACATTTTCTCAATTCCTGGAACAGAACACAAAATTAATTTTAGTCGCTCATGTTGGTCGTGATTTGTTGGCAAAACTCTGTCTAGCGAAGATGTTTCCCGAGCATTTATTTTCTCGCTCTAATGAATTTAAACGTGCATATCCTCAATATATAATCTTAGTATAATCTTACAACAAAAACTGCTGGTTAAGAAAGTAATAAACACAAATTCTAGCCGGAGATAATATTATATTTTGAAGCATAAAAGCCTTGTTATGCTCCAGAATCTTGTCAGGAAAATAACAAGAATTACAAGCTGCTTCTCAAGTGTGTGTGTGTGTGTGTGTGTGTGTGTGTTAACTGATATTTTCTCCCCTTGGATTTAATATTATGGAGAAGTTTATTGGGGTAAAATGTTTAAAGAAGCCCAGCGGGAAAGTATTATGTTGGTGTACTTCCAAGCACTATCTCATTTTTGTGTGTGTGTGTGACAGAGCGAGAGAGGAAGAGGCATGCATTCATTCTGCGAGTATCCCTATGGATGTCTTAAAGGTGTCGGTCTGTGTATTTGTGTGGTTTTTGCCGGTCATTACCTGTGTATTCCAAAGGAGTTGGGGGTGGGGTTTGCCGGGTGACAGTAGGCACACACAGCGTTCCTGACTTGGTAACCCACACACGTGCAAGTGCACAAAAAGGTCCATGCGCTCATTAGTGGAATTCCACTACCCTGATGGGAGCTGGTCTAGGTGTAGATGTGTGTGTCAGTGCCAGGTAATACTCATCTGGCATTCCTCTGTGTAAGAGCTGTCTCTAAACCGCTCTGACACACACACACACACACACACACACACACACACACACACACACACACACACACACACACACACACACACACACACACACACACACACACACACACACACACACAAGCCTGACTGAGAAACTGAGGTGCAACACAATTTGGTTTTATTGCTTATTTGAGGTTCCCCTCCTCAGTCATGCTACACTCACCCTCTGGCAGGCAGTGTGAATGGAGGGATTTTTCATTTGCTGTTTCTGCCCATCACTTCTTTAATTTACACCTGGAAAACACAGGCAGGAGCTGGCTTTTGTGACTGAAAATCCAGCCCTGAAAGCAGCCTTGGACTGAAGCTGATGGGAAACCACCACTCAGGTCAGACAAATCGTTAACCTGCAGTTGAGCACAGGTTGTGAAAACCCATTTAACCGATGATCTGAGGTTATGAAGAATTATTAGTGAGGTTTCAGGGAACAGCAGCTGTAATACAGCAGAGCACGACCCCCCCCACCCCCACCCTACCCCTCCAAACACACACCAGCTGATGAGAAGTCAGTCAACATCCCCCCCCCCCCCCCCCCCTTTTTTTTCCCCTCCAGAGCTTGTTGCTATGTGTACACAGCGCAGGAAATATCTGTGGCTCACTGCCAGCAACTGTGCAGAAACCAGAGAGAAAGTGAGAGAAAAAGAAATGCAGATGAACTTTAAGGTCAAATTTTTTTTTTTTCCCTCTTGTGTGTTGTGTTTCTTTGAGTCAGGACGAGACATGGACACCATAGAAGCTGTATATGTGAGACTTCTTGTAACCCTGAGATATACTGTCAATGCTTCATGTGTGTCTGTGTACATTTGGCCTTGTGACACACCAGGAGGGAAAGAGTGCCAGCGAGCTGTCTGGGTAATTGGTGCTTACCTGGCAGGCTTTTGTGCGCACATATACAGAGAGAATGGATTAGATTGCATTAAGTACAGGAGAAAATGGCATAATTGAATATGTGCACTAACTTTCTCTGCTGTGTGTGTGTGTGTGTGTGTGTGTGTGTGTGCGCGCGCACGCGCTCACCTGTGACAGCGTAATGAGGAACTGCACGCTACACACAAAACACACCCTATCAACCTCTGTCAGAGGCTGCAAACCATCGCTGCACTGGGTGGTCTGTTCGCTTCTGTGTGTGCATGTGCCAGCATGCGTACTGTATGCAGGGAGATGAGGCTGTCACCCATCAGCTCCATCATGTGCAGACACCCAGCTTTTAAACCCCCCCCCCCCCCCCCCCCCCCCCCGCCGCCGCACTAGCTCTGCTGAGGCCTTGTCCCCAAGGCCCCTGAGCAGACCTGGGAAATCAAAACAGAACTCTGCAAAAAGCTTATTTTTAACACACACACACACACACACACACACACACACACACACACACACACACACACACACACACACACACACACACACACGATAAACAAGCAAACTTGTCAGTTTTGTCAAAAAATATTAAGAGTTCTGAAATGACTCAAGTGAGTGAATGAGGCCATTACATTTTTGTTCTAATAACAGGAAGTTATTAATTACATGGAGATGATAAACCATGTTCACCAATTCCTAAGTAGTTCTTCACTTGCAAACTTCTCTCATGACCCACCTGTGGCTTTTAAGTAACCCACAAGCAAGCACTGTGTTGACCATACTTGGCTTTCTGTAGAATTGGACACTATAAGGTGTGGCGAGTGACAAGACAGGGAGCTGTTGCATGATGCAGAGCGGAGTTTACACCCATCCAATAAAATGTATGTATTGTAAAGGCTCAGAAGTGTCGTCTTGGTGAACTTTGAAGTAAACACAGACACATTTGCATCACACCCTGTTGCGATGCTGCTATAGTTAGCAGTGACAGATCGGTAGGCACATTTTATCTATCGCAGCATCTCTAATATCTTGTGTGTGAATGAACCTGAATAGAATATGCTAGACCTGGGACTGCTGCACTGAAAGGACATTTATGAGCAGTAGTCATTTCAGTAGCCTTTTATTCACTGGCTGTGGGAGGAAGCATAATATTAGGATGAGATTAACTTTCTCCCTTTCACATACTCAGACAGAAATACAGGCTGACACATTGACTCAGTTTCTGTGTTACCACGGCCACAGTCGTCTGCATTCCTTGTTTTATTTTTTTGAGAGCGCACTCATTCTTAACGAAATGCTCTGACTGTTGTCTTATTACTGCAGCAATAAAACATCTTGGAGTAATTGTTTTTGTGTGAGGTGGAGATTTTAATACAACCTGTGCTGGTGTCACTGATGAGCCAACTCAAATGATCATGAGTCCACTGAATGATCCCACACACGTTGCTTTTGACATCTGCCACTCATTGCCGAGAGGATCAGAAATGCTTTTTTAAAATTCAAATAATTAGCATACATTATCCTTTCCCGCAAAGGCAGGAAGTTTTTTCTTTCTCAAACCTTACAGCTGAAATCCACTTGCCCGATGGCTTGACTAGAGAAACGCTGTTTCCAGTTTCCATTATTTATTAATACCTCTTTGTTGTTGCTCATGTCCTAATCTCATTTCCTTTAGTCATTAGCGTTGTTCGACATCAAACACAGCTGCCAGAGCAATGAGTGTAGGGGAGCGAGGGGGTGGGGGAGAAGTATGGTTATTGCTGTTGGACACTCACTAAAGACCCTTTTAACAACGCTCATTGCTGTTAAAATGCTCAATATCAGCAATATAGTGTTTTGAACAAACTGCGTCTTTGATGTTTGGTTTTTTTTTGCTCGCATTGAAACAGAGTGGGGGGGTGGCCATGTATTGAAAAAAGGTTGTGGTGTGTGTGACTTCTGGTGACCTTCGGCAATAACAATCTTCTGTCTCGGAGAGATTAGCAACACATGAACTCACAGTCCCATGATGCTTTTTTCATTTGCTTCCTACCTATTCATCGTCACAACACTCTCCCATCATGGCATTGTGGTGAGATGCAGTCCTTCGTGGCATTCTTATGATAATGTGTGGCCCTATGTCTAGCTGCAAGCTAATGCTATGTTATGCTAATGCTGTGTCATGCTAATGTCACGATGGAGCGAGAAAACTGCAACTGGAACAATATGCAAGGAGATTTCCCATTATACAAAAACTTTGTAAAGCTGTCATAACTTTTAATGCATTTCCACACTGAATACAACATTATTGTTCCCTGTATTTTGTTATTTTGATAGACACGTGTAATATAAAAATCAATTCCACATTCCTGAGACGACTAAAATGCTCACTGGCTTCAGCCACTGTCTATTCTTGATGTAGGCTAATCAAATATATGTCCTAGGCTGTTTTCATTGCGTTTCCATAGTGCAAAAAAGATAATCTAATTGGCTTAAGAAGGTGGAAATGGACAGTCTGTGTCGACATTAGCTTGTTAGTTTTTTTTGTTTTGTCCTGGACATCTCTACAGTAGCCTGTAAGTCACACTTTAATGGGCATGCTGTTGTCTGACAACAAAAAAAGATGAAGCCTTTGTTAATCGGTCTGTCAAATTTGAGTTAACATTCAGAACTGTCTTTTAGCTAAGTATTGGAAATGTACTGTCCCACAGCAAAATAGAAAATTGTGCAAAGATCCCATGTTTTATATCCGTGACAATAGTTTGTACTGACTCTCTCTGTCTCTGTGTGGATGTTTCCACAGGATGACAGTGATGGGATCCCGTGGTCTGAGGAGCGGGTTATGCGAAAGGTGCTTTACCTCTCCCTAAAGGAGTTTAGGAGTGCACAGAAACGGCAGCTGGATGGTGATGGAACCACAAACTCCAATGGTAAGATCATATCCATGTCCTTAATGTAAGGGACCTGTATCATGTTTCCCATCTTTCAACTTATTCTGACTTATCCTACAAGACTGAAGCCATAGTAGGTTTGAACATAGAGTACAACTGCATGCCAGTCTAATTACAAGTTTAATTTACTATTTTTTCCTGCTTAGACTGACTTTATGATAAAGTATAGATTTGTCACTCATCCCGTACTTGGAAATCTTTATTTAGCTAAAATTAGGAGTTTTCAAAGAGGTTGAATTTAAATGGAATAAAATGAATTTCATTTCTCTGGATGTACTGTAAACAGCCCTGCAACAATTAAAGGATATCTTCAAATGTTGCAATTTGACGTGTTGAAAGAGTCCAGTTTGTTTTGACAAAATGACAGAAACAAAGAAATGGCTGCACTGGCATTTTGTGGCGTAAATGTCAGAGTTGCCAATTTTGTCTGGCTTGGTTGACATTAGCGTCTCAGTCTAGCTCTTCATTCTCTTAATTGCGGGCAACAGTTTAGTCCGTTTTTATGTAAAGACTAAGCATGTTTTCTTTAAACGAAGCCTGATTTAACTTAAAATGGAGAGAATCCAGTGAGAGCTGATGATCAAGGACTTTCATTTGCCTTTTGTTGTGTGTCAGCGAGCTGCAGTCTTTCACTATGCTGGTTCAGTGTCACATCCTCAAAGGAACCCTTGAACTGAAAGTTTTCCCCATTTGTTTTCAAATGTTGTTTACGCATCAAACAGAGGGACTATGATGGGGTCTTCCACTGTGGCCTCGCACAAGAAAAACGTGTAGAAGTGTTGGTAATCTTTTCCAGCTTAGGCATTAACACTCACCCTTGTGTCCAGGCTCATTAAAACACAGACTAATAGAAACCCTGACATGAATTAATACTTGCTTAGTTAGGAAGAAATCCAATTCCAGGTGGAAGCCAGCTACAGTTACAGTTGAGGGATTTTGCTGTTGTGCCGTGTAAACCTGAAAGAACACAAAGAGTGAGAGCACAGGGGGTATGAACAGCTTGTTTTGAACCAAGCTGCCACCGTGTCTTTGTTTGACACTGTGCTCCTGTACAAAAAAGCCCTCAGCCAGCCAACAGCGGAGATTTGAACTTCACACGTGCCTCAGAAACTATTCTCAGCTGACATTAACACAACCCAGACACTGAAAGAAAGGAAAGTCAGAGAGGGAGACAGGCAGACAGGAGGAAGTCTCTTTTGAAATAGCTTATCTAGTAGCTTACGTTTTATAGCTTCCCTTCCTTATTCTTCTTTGTTATTTATTTTTCCACACCTTCATTTCTCCCCTCTCTGTCTGTGCTGAGTGTCCCCTCCCCTCCCCTCCCCTCCCCGTAGCTAGTGTATCTCTGTCTGTCTGGCATCTCATAGCTGCCACTCCAGAGCTCCTCAGGGCCTTTTAAGCCGCTGCGGGTAGCTGACCTTATCGCCTGAATAAAAATGACTCATTAGAAAGCATTGGCGGCCCGTCGTGCTGGGGGTAACGACAGCAGCCCGCACTGACACAAAAGGGAGCCTGGCTGAATAGACGGGCCCTGCTGTTTTAGAGCACCATGGGTTAGCAAGGCTTTGGAGGTTGTACGAGTGGCACAGTTTCCAGTCTTGCATAGACGTTGTGGTGAAACTGTCAGCCATTTTGGAGGATCACACTCAGCGTGTGCTACATCCTGAATGGGCAGCCCCTGCTGTTTTAGAGGACTGTGGGTTAGATAGTCTAGTCTTATGTTGGAGCCAGGCATGTTCCACAGTTTTCAGTCAAACACAAGCATTATTGTGAAACTATCAGCCATTTTGGAGAGCCAGACCATGCATGAACATGATCATTAATACGTCAGAGATAGAGTTCGAGAACATCATGGATTAGAGAAAATGTGTCTCATATAAATGATTAGTGGGTTAATGGATTACTTGATTGACAGAAAATTAATAATGGTGAAATTTTATTTCAAATTGTATAATTAAGTAAAAATATCAAACAGTTATTGTATTTCTCTTTGAAATAATTATGAACTTTTTGGGTTGTAGGTTGGATATGATAAATTATTTTAAGGCATCACCTTGGACCTTGTTTTGAGAAATTTACATTAGAGTCGTAGACAAAAAAAACTCAAAACATGGAAGCTTGTACTGGGGAATATTTTCCATTTTTGCTTAAATGGCTTTGATTATCGAAATAGTTGCACACTAATTCTCTGATCGATTACATGATTAATCGTTTCAGCTCTGATTGAAAGAATAATGAAAACATATTTTGGTCTGAGCCCTACTCTATACACAGGATCTGGTCCAAATAAAGGCAGCGCCCTCTCTCTTTCAGTATATTTTGAGATAAGCATCCACCATTTTGGGAAATCAGTGTCATCTGGTGGAAGGAGGTTACAGCAATACCTGGCTGTAAGGCTCTGTAAAACGGCACCCGTCCCCCTCCCTAGGCACGTGTCTCTCCATCTCTCCCTTCCCACGTACCTCCATCCATTCCTCAAACTCCAGCTCTCTCCCTCCCCCTTTCGCAGTCACTGCGTGACAGTGGTGGCTATCTGTTTTAAAGGGGGTGTGGCAGTCTGTCAGTCACCTGCATGTGTGTCCGTGTGTGTGTTTTTGTGTCTCTCTCAATCTCCCCACCCACCCAGCCTTCTCCCTTCCCATAGCCAGCAATTATGCCATCTCCCTAGCCACTTTACCTCTCACTGTTGGCAGCCGTCCATCTCGGTGTCCATCACACTTCCTGCTTCTCCCGCTTGCTGCTTGCATTATTTAACAAATGACATTATGCCCTTCTGTGTCCCGGCTTCCGCTTGCTCACCTACTCCCCCGTCTCCCACTCCATCGTAGCCACATTCTTCCTTGTCTTCTCCTTTTCTCATCCCTATCTCCCTCCGTCCGTCTGTCCTTCCGGTTGTCTCTCCCCGGATGCAAGGTTTCATTACACATCAATAGGACTCTGGTTACTGCCTTCTCCGCAAGCTCGTGTCTCCTCTCTACCTCCCGCTGCTCAATCTCCTCGGTTATGTATCTCCACCCCCCCCCCCACCGCATCACCCTCCTTACCATAGCCTCTTTCTCTCTCCTGTTCCCTCCATCCATCTCTGTCTCCCGTTTTCTCACAATCTCCCTCTTTTCCGCTTTGTCCTTCCTGTCCTCTGCCCTGTCTGTCTTAACTATCTATAGTATCTGTCATGCAAACCCTCCCTCCTTCTTTTTCCATTCTTCCTCCATCACCACCCCTCCCTTCCGTTCCCTCTGTCCTGTTTCCCACCCTCCCTCGCCTGTTTGCCGAATTGTTGAAGCTGCATCTCCTTCCTGTACCTCCTTACCTACGCCATCTCCCTACGCTACGCTGCCCGTCCAATTCCCTGCCATCCATTCCTCCCTCTCCATTTCCCTGAGTGCTATTGATGGAGGAGCTGGCAGCTGGCCAAAAACCAGTAGGGGCTGAAGAGAGGGCTCGCTGTTTGCCCGTTTCTCTGACTGTCCCCTCTCTTTTTCTTCCTGTCTGTCTGCCAGTCTCAGGACCTGCCGTTCTTACCCGTTTTTATGCATGTCGTCCCATTTCCTTCAGCGCTTACTCCGCTGTCACTCTGCTGTCTATCTGTATTTCCCATGCCACCAGCCCCTTGCACAACCAGAATGGCAGCCGTGGCAGCTAAAACACTGTGTGGGCCCTCTATTCTTTCTCTGGAATACCAGTAGAGAGAAGGATAGAGGGTGGGTTGGGAGCAGATGAATAAGAGTAGCCGAAGGAGGAGAGGTTTAGGTATTGAATCAAGTGAGTGAGAAAGATTGCGTATATTCTATCCTCACCTGCTCTTTTCACACGTCTGAAGCCATTACAGAATCCCATCCTTCCCTTTTGAAGTTTCAGATTTACAGCCTTGAACTACACAAAGCAGATGCTATGTTTCTGAATGGCACATTGTTGTATGCTTTTGTTCTGGCTTGTGGTAAGTGTCATGCATTGTTGTTAGGTCCAATTTTGGAAGGAAGAGCAGTATATTTGGGGCTGTTTAAAATCCTCTTGCCAGGCAGTCAATTTTAGTATCTGCTCTGAAAAACGTCTGGGAATGGATACCATGGGGAGTTTCCCTAAAATAAAACTACCCATTGTTTCTTTTTATATTATCCCGCGATTTTAATTGTATACAGGCACAAACGATTTCTTGAACAAAGGGCATGAAATAGCATTATAGTGCTCTTGTAAACAAGAGGGAAAGGGAGAATAAAGTCTTGTATAACATTAGAATTTCAACTGCAAATTGCACAGAATTGTTAATTTATGAGGAGGAAGTCAAAAGACAAATAACTACCACATATGTGCTGATGTAAGAACAAGTGAGCCTTTTATCTTTCATACAGTTCCCTGTATATAAGTTATGGCATTGAAGTCATTTTCACATTAAGCCTGTGTTTGTAAGGGCAGTCTCTGCCCCCACGAAAATTCTTTCTTGTGGCATGACTGCTCGGCTGTAGTTCCACTTATTACGGCGGCTCACACTAATGGGCTCCTCAGCCTTGTGATATGCCATGTTGCGCTATGGACCTCTGCTCACTCCCTCCTGCACTCTCGAGACTTTGAGGTGAACATTGCGATGAGCTTAGTTAAGCACGCATAAATCTGATTAGAAACTTCCCCATAGGAGCATCGGCAAACTAGCATTCCCCTCATCGTTGCCCCATCTCATTCCAGTATTAACTTCCTCCTCTACTCCAGCCTCTTGTCGTAGGCCTCCGCCGGTACGATGAGCTTGAGTTTAGGCACCCACCTTTGGCTCCATGCCTGTCTGCCAGAGCCACCCATACCCAGCCCTCTGCCTTCCCTGGATTCCCAGCTCTGCCCCTCAGATGGGCATTCATCTGCGACCAGCGTATGTCAAACAGCTCTTTGGAGGAATGGGGGAGAATTGATGCGGGGTGGAGGGAGGGAGGGGGGAGGGGGCTGTGAAATGGGCCTCTGCCTGTTTGTTTGCATTCTGTGGGGACATCATGCGTCAGTCATTTTGAGCACAATTAAAGTTAATGAGCTATTTCTTTTTTGTTTGTTTTTTTTTGGTCTGGTGCAAGTTTCACTGGCAAAACATATCGTCCAAGTGATCAGACTCTTTGCACCATTTCCTCCTTGTAGTGCCTCAACTAATTTTAAATTAATTTAATCCGTTCATCCAAATGTCTCCATTAAACAATTTATTTTTCATGGTTACAAATTAAGTACTGAAAACAAATTGCTTAATCTGTATTCAATCTTTGGAATTTATCCTAAAAAGGTCGAACATCTGTCACAGATGCAGATTAATTGAATCCTCTCTTGCCATATGAAGTGTTTTTAATTTTATGAAATTGTACGTTTGCTTGAAAGAGGAAACTTGAAAGGGTTTTAAGTGAACCTCTTGGTTGATTCAAGCCACACTTATGTAAGACCTTCGTGCTAACCATGACATTGTAAGGCAGTGATTCACCCCTGGCCTATAGACTTGGAGGCACTCCAATGGCAACATAAAGCATTGCCAGCAGTGTAATGGCCTTACTCATCACGCCGACGCTTGTAACTTTCTGACCACAACGATACATGTCTGACTGTACCTCCGCTTTCAGGTATTGACCTGCCTGCGTGTGGGAGAAAAACCTGCAGCCTGTCTTTATGCAATAATGATAAAGTGTGACTGCGTGTGCTCATTCAGCCCAAAGCACATTTATAAATCTCACTTAAAACATATGTTTGGAAACTCCTTTTACCTGCTCCACAAATGCTCATCTTCATCCTGTCTCCTACACTGTCATTTGATCTTACTTCTCCCCTTCCCATCCTATCTGTTAGATGACACAATGCCTGGGCTTGTTCAACAGTAGCCTCCTCGCTAACAGGGTATCGTTCACGTTTCCACTTATCCTAGCCTGTGCGCCACTCATCATTATTATCTTAATTTATTTTCCTTTTGACACCCACTATTATGAGTTTGCGGTGCAGGGTGAGTGACATATACTACCAAAGCGTCAGGCAAATGGAATTTCACTGGGTGTGCAGGGAAGGCAATGAACTAAGAATCCCTCAGCCAATGAGAAAATTACATACCACTGGAAAGGTGAATGAAAGGATTTTACTAGTGGTCTTGGTTAAACAAACCACTGGCAGCTTAAATGATCAGTGAGTCATCATTTGTTTTTGCAAAAATGAATGTGATTAATTTAACCATCTGCCATACCAAAGTCCAGTCAGGCACGAATACTTGTCAAAACGGATAAAATGTGATTAATTATTGTCAATGTCAAATGTTTGATTGGCGCATTGCTCACTCTCTGATAAACATCTTCAGCTTTCAACTCTGCAAAGTGATATTTCAACTGGCAAGCGCGGTGCAGTTTTAAACATGCGACTGCCTCTCTGTCTCCGTTCGGTTACAGTCTCCTTGGCAGCTCCCGCATTCTTTTCTTCATTTTTCTTTTTTTAATAACTCTGCAAAGCTTTAAACTTCCCCAGTTGTTTCCCTGATAAGTTTGCTTATTCACAAGCTATTGTTGAATCAGGCAAAGCCTGTATGACACGTTCCAAGAATTGCAAGAACTGCCCATGAGGAAATCAAGCCTTGTGATATCTATTTAATTTGGTTGTCTCTCTTAATTACTATTGACTTCCACTCCTCTGTTTGACCTAATTTGAATTCTCGGTGCCTGTTGTTTCTTTTGATTTAAGAATCTGTCTGGGGGCTTATTTTGTTTGTCTCCGTTGCTTACTAAATATTTAATTAGGGCTCTGTCAATTGGGCTCACTAAGAATGTCAAGTCCAGCAATATCTGCTCACTTCTCTCTCTGCCTCGGGCTTGTTTTGTTTTTTTTTAATCCTTTTTGAAGGGCATACATCAGCGGAGAACAGCAGCTACATTTGACAAGGGAAAATGTGGACAGGAAAATTAATAAGTGACACTCCCCTCACTCCAAAACTAGCCCCTGTGATGCTGCAATAGATGTGGCAATACATGATGTGAAGGACTGTGTGTGAGTTTGTCACATTCGCTGGATAGACTGGATGTGTCAATATCTTCGCATTGTTTTCGGCTCAGGGGCTCAGCGTGTTTGTACACTTGAGATGCTTGAGTAATTTGTGTTTCCTCTGTATTCATCCCCTTCTCTCTTCTGTTTTCCATGTTCTGAGCATTCCACGCTGTCAGATAAAGCAGACCTACGATAATGTTATCAAAAGAAATGTATCTACTCTGCCTTCAGCCCTCTCCACTGCATCAAATCAAAAACCGTGGGCTTTATCAACACTGTCAGATGGAAACATAGTTTATTCCCCAGTGACTATATTTTTACGCAATATTAAGCTCCCCGGGTCATAAAATATTCACAAAGGACCATGCCGGTGTTGGAAGGTTTCTCACAGGTGGTCGGAAAAATATTTGCTAGTTAATCCTTTTGGTGCTTCTCTCCTCAGGTTCCCTAGCTAACGGGCAGCTGAAAGGCTGTGGTTCAAAGGGCAGCCACAAAGAAGATGGGCGCTCTCAGGGCTTGGATGGGAGCAGCAAGTACGGTGAGGACGGTCCTGCAAAGAAGAGGTGAGGGGGGGGGGGTGTGTGTGTGTGTGTAAGCTTCCTAATCCTGTTTGTGAGGGTCATCAAACAGCTTTATAGAGCCTTGAATCTTGTATTGGAGTAGAATTGTGAGCCTGTTGGGGTCTGTATATGCCAGTCTATACCAATGGTGGCGGCGGCTGCTGCTGATATCGCAAGGGTGTGTGAGAGTGATGAGAAACTTTGCACACGGTACTGACTGTAAGTGCCGCTTAGTTGTGATGAATTTCCTGAGCTCTGAGGGTTACGAAGCTGCTACATGATACCAGCTGCTTTCAAGTTCTCTACACTGTTTTTACACACACACACACACACACACACACACACACACACACACACACACACACACACACACACACACACACACACACACACACACACACACACACACACACACACTCTTCCTCTTTTTTTTTTCTCTCCCTCATTTGCTCCATTTCTCTCTGTGTAATTCATTCTCTCTGCCTCTCTGTGCTTCCCATGTATCCCCTCTAGCAGCAACCCCGGCAAAATCAATTCAAAATCTTTCAGTGCTACTTTGTTCATTGCATTGATTTATAAACGTAGTGCATGCCCTCTTTGTCATTTCTTTCTTTCTTGTCCCTCTTATTTCTTTTCTCTCCCTTCTTTCCACACTCAAGTGTGCACAGTAAAATGTTTGGAGAAGAGCAAGTTGCCCATTAGTTCTGTAGTAAAAGATGGTAGTCAACAGAAGTGTAAATAGTACCACTGTGTAAAGGGCGCAGAGGTCTTTTAATGAGCCCCCCACCACCACCATGCCATTTCAATCATTTACTGTATAATTAAACATTTAAAGGAATGTTGCCATGCATTTCCAAATGAATCAAATTAAAATTAATTTAAATTTTTTTTAATAGCGGACTACAATAAGCTGTCAATTTCCGGACGGCGTCATTTTTTTAAAGGAGGTATTTATGTCACAAGTGAATTATTGAAATGGATGTTGTCTGTAGGGGGGGAAAAAAGTCATTCTTTAGAGAGATTGGTACAAAACATTTCTCCCTCTAAGACAGATGTTCTTGGAAAATGGAATAAAGGTTCTTTGGAAAATGTGATTCTAATGCGTTTAGTATGAAGCAGATTTTGAAATCACAAGCTGTAAAATATGATTTACAAATAATTATGCTCTATAGAGTGTACAGCAGATTAGAATGGCTGGTGTGATGTTTTTCCTCTGCCACAAAACCACATGCTCACACAAACATAATACAGAACACAGTGCAGTATTACGTTCACGCTTATATTTTTGTGTTGCAAACCAGCAAGCATAAATCTTTTTGGTTTGTTTTTTCTCATTTTATTCTTTTTACTTCTCATTCTACTGTAGATGGCAGGTGTGTGTGAGCGTGGGTGCATGCCTGTGTGTTTTTGTTCTGCCGCTGGTCTCTCTCTCACTCACTCTCTCACACACACACACACGCACGCACGCACGCATCAAAGCATCAGTGTAAAGCTGGGGGCGGAGTCTGGGGGCTGGACAGCAGCAGATGTCCTTCTGTAATGAGCAGCCCATACAGGCTCCATTCACTGCGTGTCAAACACCTGCCTAAGTCATCCTAGCTGTCATTCGATACTGTAACCTCCAAATCTGAGCTCAGCCATTACAAGCTTTCATCTACCTGGCTTCTGAAGCAGCTGATAAAAAGAAATGAAAGTTTTTCAGGAGGCTGTTACAGTGATGTAAACGTTAGAGATCTTGTAGACATTCAAATAAAAAATAAATAAATAAAAAAAAGTTCTTTCTTTGCAAGTTGTAAAAATGAATGCTAGTAATAGGTGATCTTGAAGTCAGACAGGATAAAGGACTTTGTAGTGTACACTGAGAGAATAATTGTACTGCCTAACTGACAACAGCAAGTGTTTAATGGAAATGAAAGTTAAACTGACCCTCTGGCTTATATTATGGCAAACCATAAACACTCTCTGCTCTCTACCAACAGAGAAAGAAAAGCACTTAAGGAATAACGTATAACAAGGACATTCTTACTTTTATTCTCTCTTGCTCTGATGGCCTGTAGTGCTGCTGTGAGTTGAGTTCAGTTGGAGGCCAGCTTGCTCCGTAGTTTTTGATTAGTCCACTCCACACATACACACACAAATACACACGGCAGGACTGAATGAAGAAAGCCTCTCCATCTGATGCTAATGAAACACAAGCCTAGCCAGTGCTTGGCAATGCCTCATGCCCTCTTTAAAAAGCTTTTTTGTGTGTGTGTGTGTGTGTGTGTGTGTGTGTGTGTGTGTGTATGCATGCTTCATGTGTGAAGGATGACTCCAGTGCCCTGGCATGGCGGCCCTGCACTGTTCTTGAACAGGACTAACTGAGATGATGCCAGGAGCTTTTACACCTGGCACTGGCCAAAACAGAGGGGGAGTAGCGCTGGCGGAGCTGCTTCCAATTTTTGAGTGAAGAAAAAGTTTCACACTGTAGAGAGAGGATGAAGGGAGACAGCGTAGACAGAGAGGGGAAGACTGGGAGGAGCAGCAGAAAAAACAAGAGTGCGAGAGGAAGGGAGGCAGAGACAGAAGGACAGGTGCTAGTGATTTTTGGCAGGAAGCGGTCCCCTTTAGAAGTCTTTGAGATCAACTCTGTGTTTGCCTTCCCATGCTCCTGAGATTGTTGGAGAGACTGGCAGCACATCCCCTCAAACATGCCAGCTCATTGTAGCCCTCTCCTACCAGCATGACTATATTCTCCAAATGGGGTTCCCCTGCCAAACGTGGGCCCTGCTTACACTCTCACACACACACACACACACACACACACACACACAAACTTATACTCACAGCCCAGCACAGTCTCATCTTCACTGCCATGGTTTACTGACCTAGTTATACGCCTGCACCTCTTTTCCTCTCCCACATTTAGGTTGAAGACTGTTGTGTATTTGCCAGTCTCTAAGGTGTCAGGACAAGTCTCAGAACAGGCTTTTAAATGGTCTTTACCATAAAGTTGTTTTCTTAGCTAAGACTACGGCCTTATTCTTTGCTTATGATTTGAAATGTTTTTTTTTGTTGTTGTTTACAGTTGTCCTCCTTTGTTTTGCAGTTGAATAGAATATGTTTGTGATGTCCCTGAAGGAAGTCTTAGTTGAGTTATAGAAGTGCCTTCTCCAATAAGCTGTCATGGTTTTGGCATTTAGTCAGCATCTGGTAAATCTTGTAAAGTCATAAATGAAATGAGCAAATGATTTATTAGGTATTAAGTATTTTAATTTAGTGTTACTGCTCTCACAGGTACAATGTAAACATAAATCCTGTGCGGTTTTCTTTTCAATGATCAGGAAATTCTTGTGCTGTGATAGTTTATACTTTGAAGCATGTAGGCATGGAATTCTGGTTTTTAATTTGTGCTAAATCTGGTCATTTTATGGCCTCTAAAAAATCTTGAGCACTTCATCTTTATTTAAGAATCAAGAATTTTTATTATCTTATAAACCTGAAAAATTAGATCATGATGCATCTTGTTTCAGCTCGTCTGATTAATGCTTACAAGAGGTTTTCATGGCGTTGCCCCCGGCGACTCAGCTATTAGTTCAACTGTGAGTTTTATAAAAAAAAAAAACTGAATACAAACTCATGAAGCACTGCAAACGTGTGTGTGTGTGTGTGTGTGTGTGTGTGGATCAGAAGTTGAGTGGCCTTCTTAAACAGACCTCAACTTCATTTCTCTGTTCTCTCTTTCTCTGTTCCTCTTTTCTTTTTCTTCCCCCCTCTCTCTTCACTGAACCCCACTTTTGGCTGTCTTTGAATCTGTTCTGTCTGTTGTTGCAGCCAAGACACACACTCTCACACTCAGCTGCTGCCGCTAGTTTTGTTTCGACTTAATGAATGCCAAGTGTGTACACACACACACACACACTTGTCTTGTCTAGCGTAACCAAGGACTCTTGTCAGTAATGTATAATCACCATTTCCATTTATGAAGGATTACATGCATGTGCGCGTAAGTCTGCACGCACACACTGCAAATGTGTGTGTTTTAATAGAGGGCCATAATGTGTCTATTGATTTACTTTAAATGTTACTGTGAGGGAACCTGTATGCAGCTGTACTACTAACACCTAATCTTGTATTCACAGACAGTGGAGTACTCGCATACAGAAACAAATAGGCATACATTGAGCATATTAAAAAGCTAGACAGATAGTCAGTGTGCTTTAGCCAGCCAACTAGAATAGCATCTTTTGATTCTGCAGTCAAATTGTGGCTTTGTTTGCCTCTCTCTTCCTCTGTCAGTGACTCACCCCTGCATGTCAGCATGTCAGCCTCCAAAAGCTCCTCTAAACTCTCCTCTCATTGTCGCTGCCTCGCTGCAGCTTTATTAAAGCCTTCCGCTCCATTGAAATGGCAGGCTGAAGCAGTATTAACCATCCACCACAGTGCATAATGTCACTCAGCGCAAAAACTCACTTCCATAATCACTGTCAAATACAAGTGCAAGCGCTGTGATTGCCGCACAGATTAACCATGTTAAAACTGGTTGGCACGGTGCTTTTTGTGGCATAATACAACAAAATCTAAATGGTTCACAGGATTTACTGTCACTGTTATTCTTTTGTATCCGGAGCAGTTGGGGCAGTCATCCTAAAGTCAGAAAAGTCTTTTAATAGTTTGTTTTTTAGCTGCAGAAATATCTATTGTAAACCATGCTCTTAAGATAACTCAGAATACTGTACCAGTATATTAAAATTTGTTTGTTTTTAGAATGAGATAGCACCTCTCAAAGAGAAGCATAAACCTTGTATGTCAAGTTATGCGATTCCAGTAAACGCCAGAAAGTATTCCTTTTTAAATATAGCTGGACAAAGCCAAAGGCAGCCTACATTACACACTGCTGTGCTATTAAAGGCATGAAAAGAAAAACAAGTTACAAAAGTGTAGCAAGAGGAGCTCCGCTGCAGAGTGCAGTGACCCATTGGCAGGGTCAGTGTTATCGTCTCAACCTGGGAATCCTCTGTAAA